CCCCCCCGGATGGGATGCTCGTTCATCGCAGGGCTACCACCAGCAATAATTTTGCCGATACCCATTTATACACCTGGGTAGAGAGAGGCACTGTAAAAGTTAAGTGTCTTGCCAGAGAACTCAACGCAATGTCCCCGGCCAGGGTTCGATCCCGGAATGCTCGATCCAGAGACGAGCGCACTAACCACGAGACCTCCGCGCCTAGCACATCGATGGCTACACACAAAAATTCAAAATTTGGAATTAAGCTTAATTGTCTGGAAAGTGAAACGAGAAACTTTTAAATAGGCAAGAATCATCTGACAAAATTCGATTTTCCTTTTTAACCACAATGTCACCCTCACACTGACCCTTTAATCATTTTTACTTCCTTTGTCATTTGTTGAGTTGCTTTTAATTTCAATTTACTTAACATGAAATTACAATTACAATACATCACATTAAAATATCTTAAATTTACATTACATCGCATTGCATTACCTTACATAACGTTAACATTACACTACACTAAATTGCATTGCATAACATTGCATTTCATTGCATTGCTTTACTTTACATGACATAACATTACCTTACCTTACCTTACATCACATTATATTAAATTATATTACTTTATATTATTAACCTTGCATTCCAATTTTTTTTTTTGCTATAAAGCTAGAAGTAGACCCACCTACTCTCTGCATTATTTACAACTTTTAATGCTTGCTAAGTGTGGCCTGAGGATACAGAAGTTTAGAGACAGAAATAGCAATAGAATATGAAACAAAATCGAAATCTTAATCGAAATATGTTTTGGAATTGTACAGCTACTCTCACATATTTTGGTGCACACCAGCTCAGTGTAGATTGTTTTCTTCTTATTTGTCGAGTCCCCAAAATTTCTGCAGTGCTCCTTTATATGTCAGCTAAAGAGGACCATTCATAAGCTTACAACCTTTTGGGAAAGACCACCAGAATGAAGTATTTCAAGGACTGGACTCCATAACACAAATTACATGTTCTGTTTTTACAATTGATCTGTTTGTTTACAGGACATCTTTCTTGCTGTCTTAACAATTGCTGATCGAAGGTCAGTAAGACGCCAACAGATCGAACAAAATCCCGGGCGAAAGAAAAATGATAACCCATGTTATTGCTAACGTAAACAAGACCCGAGGTGTAATTACCATGGTAACATATCTCATGTGGTAGTGAAGGGTCGCAAATCTATCCAAGCCAAGAGAAAAATGCATCATTTTCTCTTGTCCAAGCTTATAGTTTTCATTGTGCAAAGGGAAACTCCACAACAGCCATAAGTCATGAAAGAAAATATTTTCTCAAGAAAGTAAAAACAACCTTTTAGTTCGATAGCAATGAAAAATGGTTAAGCCACGAGGCAAAAAGAAGGTCTAACACAGCCAAACTGCCGAGCAACGTTGTGAACGGTGAGCGAAGTGTCGGAGTCCTAAAAATGGCAACAATCACTAACGAGTTGCCAGCAATGAGGCATTATAACATCGTTAAGGACACAATTTACGATGGTGATGATTTTAGCACAAGCTGAATAATCAGTCGCTTTTTCGTTCTTAAAGATGGTGTTGTTGTTCGTCAAGTTGGCCTTCAAACGCTCTTGTAAAATTGTGCTAACCTCGCTGCAGATTCTGAACCTTTAGCGTGTTATAGCTCTGGTTGCCTTATTTCCTCTTCGCTTTATCGCTTACTATGTATTTAAACTGGTTCCATTTGCTTACTATGACAGCAATAATTACTAAAGTGGTGGCATGGTCTCACACGTTGACAAAGAAAAGACATCTTATTGCTTTGCTGTTAAATTGCGACGAGTGAAGATGGTTGCAATTTACCTCTAAGGCAATAAGATGCCTTTTCTTTGTCAAAGTGGAATTAATATTTTTAGGAAGCAAAATATAACTTTTTGCCTCGGATTGTTATTAAGAACACAATTTATGATGATAAAGTTGTTTGCAGGAGCTGAACAACCACTCGCTGAGTCGTTCTTAAAGATGATGTTGTTGTTCATTCTGGTTCTTGGAAACGCTCCTTTTGAATTCAATCGTGCTAACCTGTTTTAAAAAAAACCTTGTTAAAGTTCCTGAGCCTTTTGCATTCAGTAGTTATGGTGGACTTGCACTCTTCACTTTATCAGCTACTTTAAAAAGTCTGGTTCCATATGCCTAAAGTCGCGGTGGTCTCGTTGACACATACATAGAGTAATTTAACGGCAAGTCAGAGAACACCTTTTCTTTGGCAAGGTGTGATTAATATTTTCAAAGGGAAGCAAAATATAGCTTTCTGCTCTGAATTGATATTAAAATCTCTCAGCATGAAAGAAGAGTAAAATAACAAGGCTCCAGTACCCCATGCGTCAAACAAATTGATTTTAATCAGTTTGTTTCAATGGTCACGTTTCGTCATTTTGGAGCCCAATTTTAATCACGAGCTGATTTCCCAAGCGAAACAATGATTCCCTTAGTAGCAGATGCTCGTTTCGGTAACAAAAGTATAGCACCGGAGTTGATAGCCCACTGCCGGTCGGCCAGTTTGCTGGGAATGCCCCCTTAAGGCTCCACCGTCAAAGCCCTTCTCGCACTAATGGTGTCATAACACCATGTTGTGATGATGATGCAGCAGATGACAAACTTGTCTAGTGCACCCCACATCAAACCTTTTGTTAACAACTGTGCTCGTTAATCGTAATTATCCTCTACCAACATTAGCCTTAATGATTACTGAAATGAAAACTACTATTTGAAAAACTAAGTTGAATATTTACATAGATCTACAAAAGACTATTGTTTGTAGCTTTTACTTGTTACATAGATGTATCACTGTTAGTTATCTCAAATAACCATTTTCTTACTAACAAACGACTTGGCTCTTTGAAATACTGAAATCGGAAACTTACAAGAAATTGCCTTCGAAAATAAGAATAAGCAATAATTTGGTTGAAAATCGTCTGTCAAGGAATTTAATAAGTTTTGCTTGAAATACTCAAAAGACATGAAATTGATCTGATGCTTTGTGCGCTTTCAGGACCGTCCTAATTTTAAAGCTATTGAACATTACAGTATTGAAAAAAGGTATTGAAGCTCAGTTTACAGTCGCCAAAACGTACCTGCACGTATTGAAGATGAAAATAGCGCCGCTTACGCAGCGGTATTTCTCTACAAATTTCTTTTTTTTAATCAGAAAATTTCGTCGCGCGAGATCAGAAGGAAACTTTGGTTTACGATAAAAATTTTAAGAAACGTATAAGTTGCAGGTGCAACTTGAGCTTTAATAATTTGACTTTTCAAATTTACAGCTGTCATTTTCGTATTCAACAATTTCGTTATTGGGCCTACTTAAATCAAGGTAAAGGAACAAACAACATTCAGTTCTCCACAGGGAACTAAGCTGTTGAGAAGTTTTTGACTATCTCGGAAGAGTGCATTAAACGAAGACATTCAAGGAGAAGATTCTAGCCCAGTAGGTATTCTTGTTACTAGATTTTACGTTACATTTTACATGTGCCTTCAATTCCAAGCCACCAGCTATTGGCTAACTGGGAAAATTCTGAGTTTCTTTCTGTTGCTCACTTTCTTTGGTTTCACAGAATACAATAAGTCCGCATGAAACATTTTAAGAGAGGGCTCAAACAGAATCAAATTATTAAAGGCCTTCTGTTACTCTTGCCTTCTGTGATAATATTACGGCAATTTTTCTGTCTCGGAAAAGATTTCTTAAGGGGATAGTATCGTAGCAAAGAAGAGTGAAGAATAATCACCGATTTACATCATCTTTTTGCAACTAATATCGCAATGTCACAGTCTAAGCCTGTTTCGTTGTCCTGCGAGTTAAAAACGAGGGAAAAAACCTGAGAAACGATCGGCGGGGACGCGGAAACAACGGCAGGACATTTTACCGGTTGTTAAAAGAAGACATGAGCCAGTAGCGGTTATGTGTGTCTCGCAGTCTAGATTTTCCATAAAGTTGACTTGGAGTCTCGATTTTATCTAACGCTAAAAAATTCTCGAGGTCCGGATTGTTTTTTCGTTTGGTGATTCAAATAACGTGTGAATTAGAGAGTCTGATCACGAATGTCCCGCGGCCGCAATTAAAGAACTTTAAAGTTTCGGTCTCACAATTTAAAATGTCAAAATGTCTCGGGCTTGCAAAGAAAAACACCAGTCTCACTTTCTCACAAACTCGTGCATTTACCATTCACAGAGGCGAAGTGCTGGGGGTGTGCACCCCCCTTGAGATGAAGGCTTCCTCTTGGTATTCGCTTTTAAAATTTGTTTACACCAGTCAGTTACGCTATTCCTTAATGGTGAAACCCACTCTTAAGAGAAATCCTGGATCCGCCCCTGATTCACCGCCCTTAGCCACTGTTGTAGCCATGCATAACCCACCCACCGATCAAATTGATAGATCGGCCAGTTGTTAAATATTGCAAGCAGCATTTTCACTGGCATTCTTGAAGAATTAAACTAATTTTCTATTACGTTCCTTTGAAGGAATATGAAGTTCTTTGTTTACTTCTTCATCTCTTTGGGTCTGGCGATGTCATTTCCTCAACCTTCAGACCGTGAAGCTGAGGATCTGGAAAGGCAGATGGCCGGTATGTCCATCAGTTTATTGCTATAGCTAGCGGGCGTTTTCATGCATACGGGATTTTTGAAAGTGACACTGTATTTACTTTGTTGTTAGCTACACAATGAACAGTAACACTTGTTAATCATTTCCTATGCTAACATGTAATAAGGTAGATACGAATCGAGATATGTACATGCGGTACCAATCACGAATTTCGATGCATATGGCTGTTGTTTGGTTCCTTTTTAAGTAAACA